TGATGTTAGAAGGTATTTGCAATAAATGAGTTGTTATTCCTGAAAAAGTAAAATGTGATCTCCTGTGTCATTTCTGTCACCAAGGCCATATTTTCTTACTACTGATCCTTCTGTAAATAGCTTTGGTAGACAGTGGTAAAGACACTTAGCTGCTAACCAAATGGTCAGTGGTTTGAACCCACCAGCCACTCTGTGGAAGAAAGATGAGGCAGTCTTTACAGCCTTGGAAACCATATGGGGCAATTCATCTCTGTCCTGTGGGGTCACTATGAATCTGAATTGACTAAATTGTCATAGGTTTGGATCATTCTATGTTTCCAGCTTTCACATTCCAATCACTAGTAATTATCAATGCATCTTGATTACATGTTTGATCAATTTCAGACTGCATAAGTTGGTAAAAAAATCTTCAATTTCTTCATCTTCGGCATTAGTGGTTGGTGTGTAAATTTGAGTAATAGTCATGTTAACTGGTCTTCCTTGTAGACATACGGATTTCGGGATAGTTCTTGAGATGTTCTTTCTGATGACGAATGTGGTGCCATTCCTCTTCAATTTTTCTTTCCTGGATAACAGACCATATGATTGTACAATTCAAAACAGCCAGTACCAGTCCATTTCAGCTCACTAATGCCTGTTGTTGCTGTTGTTATGTGGCATTGAGTCGGACCCGACTCATAGTGACCTTTCCTTGGGTTTCCAAGGTGGTATCACTACGGAAGTAGATTGCCCAACCTTCCTTCCAAGGAGTGGCTGGTGGGTTTAAACCACCAGCCTTCTGGTTGGCAGTCAAGTGCCTTAGGCACTATGCTACCAGGGCTCCTTTTTTTCAAACATTCTATTTCATTTTTAGCAACATCCAGTTTTCCTAGAGTCTTACTTCTTATATTCCATGTTCTGATTATTAATGGATGTTTCCAGCTGTTTTTTCACATTTTAAGTAGTGCTACATCAGCATATGAAGGCCCCAAAAGCTTCTTTACTCCATGTCATTAATCATTAAGGTCTACTCTACTTTGAGGAGGTAGCTCTCCCCAGCTGTGTTTTGAGGGCCTTCCAACCTGAAGAACTCATCTTCCAGCACTATATCAGACAATATTTCACTTCTGTCTGTAGGGTTTTCACTGGCCAGTTATTTCCAAAGTAGATCTCCTTCTTCCCAGTCTAAGTCTAGAAGCTCTGCTGAAATCTGCCCATCAATAATGTCATCTCCTTTGCTACTTTTTAGTTTTGTTAACCCTCTGAAGCCACTCAAACCCTAGATGTACTCAACTATCTCCTCTCTCTGTGCCTTGTGCTTGTGAGACAAAATCTTACAAGGGCATACATTGATACCACTATAAATTCATTATTATTACCTACTTCCTTTAACCATTAATATTGCCTGGCAACCCTATTATTTTCTGTGGCCACCTTATTCTCTCACAAAGACTTCCAAATCTTATTGATTGTCCTCAGCTGTCTCCCTTGTTTTTTGTTCATGTTCTCAGCAGATTATGTAATGCCCATTTTCATAGAGAATTCATTACATCAGAATTGCCTCAACCTTCTGACACCAAAGCTATAAACTTAATGCCGATGCACCCATTTTCTCCAGTTCCAATGGAAGCATATATTTCTCCAGTTCTCTTTATGGTCCATTCCCTCCATCTGTCTTCTGAATCCCATTTCCTTCCTCTCCTCAAACTTTTACACTATTGTGGGAAGTTGTGAGTGGTTCACAGGAGCGTTTATATATGTGGTTCATCTAACCTTTAAAAATAGAGAAAAGGAAAGATCTTTTCTTAGACTCCATGTCCCCTTACACCTCCTTTCTTTTTCCCTTTTACAGTCAGAGTTCATAAGACAATTAATTATCTGTATATAGGTGAACAGTTGAAATGTTTTAAGCAGGGAAGTGACATAAGACCAGCTCTAGAGTGATAATGACTGCAGAAAAGAAGACCAGTTACAAAGCTACTATAGGTAGTCTAAGCCTATATAAGTATGTTTGCTTGGACTAGAGTGGTGGCAGTTGGTTTGGCAAGAATTTGAACAGATCAGTTGGAATTTAAGAGATAATAGCAATAGGATTTTATGATGGCTTGAATATAAGCAGCTCTGTTGGGCACAGCCATTGGCTGCTAACCAGAAAAGGTCGGTGGTTCAAACTCACCCGCCACTCTGTGAGAGAAAGATGAAGCAGTCTGCATCCGTAAAGATTTACAGTCTTGGAAACCCTGTGGGGCAGTTTTACTCCGCCCTTTAGAGTCACTGTGAGTTGGAATCAATTCAATGGCAGTGGGTATTGGAATCAATTCAATGGCAGTGGGTTTGTTGTTGTTGTTGTTTTGTTTTAAATATAGAGGGTGAGAAAGCAGGGATTACCTGCTCCATCTTAGGCATCTATGACAGCTGGTCATGCCATTTATTTACCAAAGGAAAAAACACTTAAAGAGAAGGAATTGGGGTGTGGGGCAGAGATCTTCTGGTCATTTGAGTTTTTGGTCCCTTTGAAATTCTGAATAGAGGTATCAGAGGAAAGTTGGATATATAAGTCTGCATCTCAAAGGAAGTACAGATATAAATATTTGAATTGTTAATATATAAGTGGTAATTGAAGTCATGCTAATAAAAGAAATAAACTGGGGGAAAAATACTGAGTAGGAAGAGAAGTTTGGTCCAGTTCTTCTGGTGACCTCCAAACATTTGAAGGTTGGTTCAAGTAGGATGAGTTAGCAAAGAAGAGGAGTTACTAGACGGGTAGGAGAATGTCATATCTTGGAAGGCTTGGGAAGAGAATATTTTAAGAAGAGAAGCAAGCATTTTATGTTTATACAAATATATAATTTAATTATAATTGCCTATTTACATGTCCATGTGCTTACTAGTTTAAATTATTTTAGTCATTGTGCGTTGATCTAGCTTTGGTGCTGGCAAACTTTTTCCATAAATGGCCAGATGGTAAATATTTTAGGCATTGTGGGTTATCTAAACTCTGCTGCAGCTACTCAACTTTGGCAGTGTAGCATGACAGGAGCCGTAGACAATACGTGAAAAATGAATTTGTGTTACAATTAAAGTTTGTTTATAGACAATGAAATTTGAATTTCATGTATTTTTCACATGTCAAAAAATAATTATTCTGTTGAATTTTTCCAATTTAAAATACAAAAACAATTCTGAGCTTGCAGGTTGCACAAAATAGGCAACAAGCCTATTTGGCCTACAGACTATAGTTTACTTTTCCCAAAGTGACGTCGTACCTAACTCAGTATACTTTTGTTTAATGATTGAATGCTAAATAAGTTCTAACCTCAGGTCATTTGTGCTTTAGGGTGGGCAGTAGAAGAGTAGTGAATGTAGATTTTCACTCTTCAAGCCCTGAGAGCAACAATCCATACAAAAGCCAAACCAAACTTACTGCCATTGAGTCATTTCTGACTCATAGGACCCCTATGGGTTTCTGAGGCTATAAATTTTTACAGAAGTAGATTGCCCTGTCTTCCTTCTGTGGAGCAGCTGATGGGTTTGAACTGCTGACCTTCCGGTTAGCAGTCAAGTACCTTATCTGCTACATGACCAGAGCAAGTCAGTGTAATATCTTGAGGTGCTATCAAGTGGTCACAAGACTGATTAAAATTTTTGTAATGATATAATGTTATTTCTGTTTGCAGAAGGGTAAAACTGAGTTCTAGCACTTCATAGGATGCATGGAATTTGGGGCATTGATTTTTATTAAAAACATCTGTAGGTATTAAAGCATACTTTCATACTTTTGAGAATCCTTTTTTTTCCCCCCTTGAATTTGTCATCTTCATTTGATTTTAGTTATAGGACTATGGACTCTACATTCTTACTGCTCAGACTTCAACATGTGAGACAGATTAAGATGTGACAACCTGTGATGTGTGCCAAAGGAAATTAACAAGTATAATGTAGATTAATTATAAAAGATGAGTTGTTGAAGTTGTCTGAGAATGTGTTTCTTGTAAAATATCATTTATGCTGAGAATTGAGCCATGTGAAAAGTTGGATGGGGATGGAGTATCTAACTAGAGAACATGTGTAATGGCCTTGAGTCCCATGAGACCTCAGTATTTCCCAGGAACTATAATAGTTTTAGTATAAATAACTTGAGATGTCTGCATTCAGGTAATCCCAAATAATTGATTTTACAAACAGGGATTAAAATATATTGGCTTTTCTTAACACAGACAGTCTATATACTAAGAAATAAGTAGCTTGTAAGCATGAAGATCAAAATTGGTTAGGTAAAAATGTTTTGTTGACTTCCAATTTCTTCTACGTTCATTGAAAACCCACCATTCATCTGAATTATGGTGCTTTATACATATGGTTTGATGGCAATTGGAATTAATAGAAATAATTGTCATGTGAGCTCCAAACCTCACATTTGCTGAAACAATCAACAATGAAACAGGAAAATGGCTCCTGTATGAGTAACTTTTGTTTAGCCTACAGTACAAAAATGTGGCAAACTAAGTATCACTGTAAATGATATCTTAAGCAAAAGAATGGCTGATAATATAACTGTGAGTCATTGTCAGTGGGAAGAAGACTAAACAGATTAGGGACAAAAGAAAAAAATTAGAATGAGGGAAATAGAATAAGCATAAGGAGGTAGAATGAAAATTCAAGGAAATGAAGAAGGGAAGGATGCTAACTGTTTAAGAGGAACCTGTTCTAGTAGGCATAACTTTTTACAAGGTAAAATCTTAGAAAAGTCAACTTTTAGTTTTAGAAATAAATGTTAATATCTCATTCCCATTGCCTAATCATGTCATAAGATCCGAATCAGCTGATTATATCTTTGATTATCTCTTCTATTTCAAAGTCTTTGTTTTACAGTATTTTGCTTTGAAAACTCAAAATAAGAAATTACATAATTTATTAGAAATTTTTATATTACAAATAATATTTGCAAATACTTGTTTTTAAAATAAAATGTATATACCATGTAGTATGTTGTATTTATTTACTCACAATGTTCTTTTAAGTGTTTCAGGCTGCATATACCAAGTAGTTCAGACGATTGGCTCGGATGGAAAAAATCTTCTGCAATTACTTCCAATTCCTAATACCTCTGGAAATCTTATACCGCTAGTTCAATCTTCAGTCATGTCTGATGCTTTGAAAGGCAATACAGGAAGCCCAGTTCATGTTACTTTTCAGACTCAGATTTCCAGCTCTTCCACAAGTGCATCAGTTCAGTTGCCTGTTTTTCAGCCAGCCAGTTCTACGAACTATTTTCTTACGAGAACAGTAGATACATCAGAAAAAGTTAGAGTTGCTTCTGTGGGAACTGAAAATTTTACCTCATCAGTTTCTAAACTTCAGAGTCATGGTGTGAAAATTGATGGACTCACCATGCAAACATTTGCTGTTCCTCCCTCAACACAAAATGATTCATCTTATATTTTAGTAAATACTCAGAGTCTTCCGATGACTGTGAAGTCTCCAGTTTTGCCTTCTGGGCATCATTTACAGATTCCAGCCCATGCTGAAGTGAAATCTGTACCAGCATCATCGTTGCCTCCTTCAGTTCAGCAAAAGATACTTGCAACTGCAGCCACAAGTACCTCAGGAACAGTTGAGACCTCCAAAATACCAACTGTTATTTATGTATCTCCTGTAAAAACAGTGAAAAATGTAGTTACCAAGAACTTTCAAAACATTTATCCAAAACCTGTTACAGAAATAACAAATCCAGTGATACTAAATACCACACAAATTCCAGTGAATGTTGCTACAGAGACACAATTAAAAAGTGGTCAGCATTCTCAAGCTCCTTCAGTGAAATGGATTTTTCAGGAAACCCTCCAGCCTTGCACTCCATCACTTGTTCCTGTTAAGTCTTCAAATAACGTGGCTTCAAAGATTTTAAAAACCTTTGTAGATAGGAAAAGTTTGGGAGACAACACTGTAAATATGCCACCACTGAGTACCGTCAGCCCTAGTGGGATACAATCCAAAAGTATACCTATTAAAGATAATGCTTTGGTTATGTTTAATGGGAAAGTCTATCTGTTGGCTAAAAAGGGGTCAGATGTTTTGCCATCACAAATTGACCAACAGTATTCTGTTTCTTCTGATATTCCACCAAGAAAAGACACATCAAAGATAGTGAGTTCAAGTCCAGTCAGAGACATATCCAGAGAGGTTGTAAATATTGTCTTGGCAAAAAGTAAATCTTCCCAGATGGAGACAAAATTACTTCCAAATATCCAACTTGCTTCCATGGCCAGACTAAGCACAGAGAAGAATAAAAAGGTGGCGCAACCATCTCTTCCTACCCCATACCCACATAATATGAACCAATCCATTAACTACTTAAAACCAAGTAAGACTTTATTCACAAAGACAGTCTTTGCAGATGGATTTAGTACAGGACAAAATACCCCCAGGAAAGGAAATATCATCCAGAGCATAGAGAAAATAAGTTCCTCTATTGCTGCAACAACTGTTACTTCACAACAGGGTGTTTTCAGAGACCAAGAACCAAAGGTAATTTTGCCATGTCAGGGTATTATTGTTATATATATATATATATATATATATAAAATAGAAAATTTTTCGTAATTCTCAAAAGTTATTATCTGAGGTACCTCTTTCTTCTCCCCACACTCCATCCCATCACACACATAACCGTACACACATGAATGCTTAATTGAGTAAAAGCGTTCATCTGTGGAAATGTTTGGGAAAGTATATAATTAGGAGATTCCAAACAGTATCTTTCTGTTGAATCATCTGTAATGCTAAATCTTTTAAAACAAAAAAATAACAGAACAACCAGGTTTAGAACAGTTGAGGAAGGAGAATATGTATTTCAAACATAGTAAAATTGTGTGTGTGTGTGTATCTATGTATGCATGCATTAAAAAAAAAATTATCTGAGTAAATGGCGATCCCATGTATGTCAGAGTAGAACTATGCTCCATAGACTAGTTTTCAATAGCTGTTTTTTTGTTGTTTCTGGAAGTCGATTGCTAAGCCTTTTTTCCAAGGCACCTCTGGGCATATTCATTTGGTTAGCAGCCTAGTGCATTAACAGTTTACACCACTTAGGGACTCTGTATATACATATATATATATATTTGTATATTTAATAGCCTAGTTTTGGTATATAAAGAGTATTATGCATATAGGAGAGCTGTTGGCTTTTGTTTTGCTTTTGGGGAAAGGAAGTTGGTTTTTTTTTTTTTTTTTTAAAGAGATGAAAAAAGTAGAATGGATGAAACAGGGCTAGTAAAGTCAGTATCTTTCAGTCATTTGTGGAAATAAGATTTTATCAGCATCTTTGGGATTTTTTTTTTTAAGTAGATAAGTGTTCTTCATTTTGTATTGTGATTTCTCATATGCTTACCCAACATACCCACATAATTACCTTTCTGTTCTGTTTAAGATGTATGTGTCTGTGATCTCTATATACTTACATCTACCTTTTGCTTACTCACCTAGTGGACTATTTAATAATGCCAACATTATTCCCCTCAGTGGAAAAATTCATTGAACTCTAGAGATGCAATGGGGTAACTTCTGATTGCTATGTACAAGATTGATTTCAGGCATGACTTTTCCAGAAGACTACAATTTCTAAATAAGGTCATATAGATTACTTTTAACTTGCCATTAGTCTGTATTCTCATTTTAATTGTTTGAGAATTGACTAGCTATTACTTTCATGATGGGGAATTAAGGGGAACATTTTGTTTTCACGCTGTTAAATTGAGTAATAAGACAAAGTAGTAAGCTGTTAAATGTGAGTAGTAAGACAAAAATAATGTAACTCAACCATGTAGTATTTTAAAATAACTGAAAGACTAACTCAATCACTGCCGTCGAGTCGATTCTGACTCATAGCAATCCTCTTTGGGTTTCCGAGGTGGTATCTCTATGGAAGTAGATAGCCCAATCTTCCTTCCAAGAAGTGACTGGTAGGTTTGAACCACCAACCTGTAGTTAGTGGTCAAATGCCTTAGGCATTATGCCACCAGAGCTCTTTATTTTATGTAAGATGGGCTAATCACTTAGTTGCTGTCCTGGTAAAATACTTTGAATAATTGCAGTACTGTGTGTTTTCTTTCTTAATTCCAGATTCAGAATGAAATGGCATCAAAATTAGAAAAAGATACTCAAGAAAGAAATGATATGAAAGATACTCAAGAAAGGAGTAATAAGGCATTATGTCTGAAGAATGATGCTGAATTTAAAAAGACATTTGGCCTCACAAAAGATTTGAGAGTGTGCCTTACTCGAATTCCTGACCATTTGGGCTCTGGAGAAGGTTTTGATACATTTAGCAGTTTGGTGAAGGGTGATACTTATAAAAAGACAGAGTTTTTGGTGAAGGAGGAAGAGAGAAAACAGGTAATAGATTTTACAGTGCCTTTTGTAGCTATAGCAAAGATACATGAATGCATTAATTTTTGTCCTTTGGTTTTTTTTTTTTTCCCTCTTTGTTCATTAATATAATGATAGGTGTCACCAAACTTGCAAATACATGTATTATACCAAATTTATAGATATTGTTAAGAAGAACCACATATGTACAGATAAAAATGCATCTTCAAAAATATCGTTTTAAGTATTTTCATTCATCTGGTTATTTATTTCCATTGTAAAATTTTAAGTAAATGGTTATAGTTTTTGAACTATTTATCCTGCTTTAAGGACTCTATGAAGGAAATAATGAAAGTGTAGGGAAAATAAAAGCATGCAGATGTTCATTATAGTGTTAATCATAATACAAACATTTTAACCAACATACATGGTCAATAATGATGAAAAGAAACACCCCTATAACTTTACCTACCTTTGTTCTACTTATGAATATATCATTATTATATTGTTTAATGTTCTGAACTTCAGATCAGAGACCAATTGATTGTTAATTTCCCAATGAAATTCTCCATATGTGCCTACTTTGTTAAAATAAAAAAAAAAAACCTTACTGCTGTTGAGTCGTTTCTGACTCATAGCGACCCCTCCTTGGGTTTCTGAGGCAGTATCTCTATGGAAGTAGATTGCCTAATCTTCTGAGGAGTGGCTGGTGGGTGTGAACCACCAGGCTTACGGTTAGCAATCAAATGCCTTAGACACTATGCCACCAGAGCTCCCTACTTTGTAAAGAAAAAGAAAAAAATCAGTTGTGTTTCTCAGACTTTATATTTTGAGGTAGGTCAATACTTCTTCTAATACTTGATTTTAACAGGAAAATGTTGAGCAATTTATTCCTAGTGAATATCAATAGAACATTGCTATTCATTTTGGCAAGCATTTCTTTTGTGCTTTAGTTGTCCCGAATACATTTTTTGAATTGAATTCAGTGACTAAATTTTTATATCAGCACTTTGTTAAATTTGAGAACACACTCACTATACATGGCAGTAATGTTTTGTTTTTCTTTTGGAATCCTACTCACCATTGCAACAGGGTTTTGATAGAAAAAGAAAAGCAAAAACCATTAAGAAGATGGACTATTCAAAGAAGAGAAAAAACGAGAGTGCTTGTAACTCAGCTGTAAATGGGGAAACTAACATTGCCAGTTCCCAACTCCTTAGCAGTATTTTACCATCTTCAAAGGTATCACACCATAACAGTCTCACAAGCCTCAACAAAACCAGAGAAGGAAAGATAACTGAGGAAGAACTCTATATTCATGACTACCAGAAGGATGGCACAATGAGTTCAAATCCAACTTCTGAACAAAGTCATTCTTTCAGTAAAAATTATACTGAAGATGTTTTCCCCATGACACCACCAGAGTTAGAAGAAACCATTCGTGATGAAAAAATAAGAAGACTTAAGCAGGTACTGAGAGAGAAGGAAGCAGCTCTTGAAGAAATACGTAAGAAGATGCACCAAAAATAATAAAATGTAGCTATGTTTGAGGACTTCAGTGAAATACCTGTTTTTTCTGTATACTTTTGTACTGTTAATTATAAATGCATCCTGAAAGTGTCTTTGAATATGAAGTTTGTTTTTCATCAGTGGATTAGAAAATTTTATTTAAGGGATACAGAAAAGTTTGATTGACATATGACTCCTGTGAACTGCATGGGTATCTGAACCTTTGTCTTCAGTACCTTTTTTGAAAGCAAAAATTTTATATTTTCCAGTTATTTTAATTAGAACTCTACAAGTTTGAATATATTTGCAGAGTTTTTGTTACTGTTGTTTGTATCTTTAAAATAACTAAAATGCTCAGGTGTTACTCCAGCAGTAGACAACTGTTATGCATTATTGACTTTCTACAGTCCAAGAGAAGAAATCAGCTCTAAATTTAGCTGTGCCAATGGGCTTGTATATCTACTCATTTTGTCTCTTTATCCCTAAAATGAAGATAGCGTCTAGTTGCCATATGTTATAATTTTTTTTTTTTAATTTCATGAGAGAAAATGTATTACAGGAGCATTATTTAAATATTCAAACATTTCTTAAGAATGAAGAACACTTGTTTTGTAACTTACAAAACAGTTTTATATAATCCAAAATGGGTATTAGAATTCAGGCTATATGTATTGTTTTCTTAAAGTGATATGCTATCTTTTTTTTTTTTTCAACATATATACGCTTTCTTGGAAATAAATGAAAAGTAGATCTGGATAATGACCACATGTAGCACTTTTTAAAAAATGATAATATGTAGTTTCTTGTAATAGAAGAGAAGATGTTTTCCTATCTGGCTAATTTTTCTTTTTTAAAAAAATTTTTTATTGTGATTTGGGTGAAAGTTTACAGTGCAAATTCACCTTTCATACAGCAGCTCACATACACTTTATCTCATGACATTTACTGTAGTCTCCCACAGTGCAACAGCTCCCTTCCCTCTTCTCCCTACAACCACCTTTTTCCTGGGTCCTTCCCTTGCAAGCACTCCTGCCCCCCGAGTTGTCCCCCTGTGTATACACAGACCTATTCTCCCACGATTGATCTCTCCAAGGAGTGTATCTGCTTAATGCAAATGTTGAGCTCATATGCCTGTCCCCTGTCCGGCTGTCATAGTCTCAGGGGTTCTACCAGGCTCCATCAGACCTGCCAACCTGGTCCTTTTTTTTTTTTTTTAATGATTTTGAGATTTGTTCTACACCACTCTTCCACTCCATCCAGAATCTCCTACATAGATCTCCCTGTGAGTGGTTGACAGTGGCGGCCAGCCACCATCTAGTTTGGGTCTCATGGTCCTATAGACACAGGATCACATGGTATACCAGTCCTGCCTGACTAATGGTTTCCATGTGTCTGATTTCCTTCATTATTCTTTTCTCTGGACAAGGAAAGATCTGGTTAATTTTCCATTTGGGAGTGGTGTGGGGTAGAGATTAAAAAGGAGAAGGGAGGATAAGTTACGGAAAGTGATTAACAAATCCCCATCAGTAAGAGATGGTTTTAGAGGTCCAAAAACCCTGCATATTGTCAACAAAATAGGAAACATTAAACCACAAAATACTGAAAGGAAGTGAAACAAAAGGAAACATCAACTAGATTCTCCTGGTTTTTTTTCCTTTCTGTTTTTTAAATAACAGGTTTATTGAGATCCAATTCACATACCATAAAATTCACCCTTTCAAAGTGTATGATTCAGTGTTTTTTTTTTTTTTTTTTATTATTATATGCATAGAGTTGTGCAACCATTATCACTAATTTTAGAACATTTTAGTCACTAGAAACACCACCAGACCCATTAGCAGTCAGTCCTTATTCCTCCCTACCCCCAGCCCGGTTGTTAGTTGCCCTTTTAGTTGACTCCAACTCAGGGCAGTCCCATGTGTGTCAGAGTAGAATTGTGACCAAAGGATTTTAAAGGCTATCGCCAGGTCTGTCTTCCAGGATGACCCAGTGGATTTGAACTACCAGCCTTTTAGTTGAGTGATTAACCGTTTACACCATCTGAGAAAATCTAACCTGTTGCCATCAAGTTGAATCTGAAGGGACCCTATGGGATGGAGTAGAACTGCATCACCTAAGGACTCCCAGTATACTTTCTGTATCTGTGGATACAGATGCCTGTCCTAGAATGTCATCCAAATAGAAACATATACAATTTTTTATGCCTGGCTTCTTTCACTGAACATTATTAATATTTTCAAACTTCATGTTGTACCATACATTAGTATTTCATTGCTGAATAATATTCCATTGTATGGATATTCTACATTTTGGTTATCCATTCATCAGTTTTTGGTCATTTGAGTTATAGCTACCTTTTGTCTATTAGGAATAATGCTGTTATGAATATTCCTGTAAAATTTTATATGGATATATGTTTTCAGTTCTCTTGAATATGTAGGAGTGGAATTGTTGGACCATATGCTAACTCAGTGTTTAGTTTAATCTTTTGAGGAACTTCCAGTTCAGTCAATTTTTGTTTCCTCTGTCCCCTAAAAACAGACTTTGTCACCAATGACTTCCACGTTGATAGATCCAAAGATCAGATTGTCGGTACTCATCTTAATTTCCTATCAACAAAATAGAATTTTATGTATCATTACCTCCTTAGAAAAGCATTTTAAACATTTTTTATTATAGAAGCAGTATATGTGTATTGTAGAAAATTAGAAAATACAGCAAGGTAAAATATTAAAAATCAAAACTTCCCATTCCTATTATCACCACTTTTATCACCTCAGTGTTTATTGTTTATGATCATCCTTTGTGCCCTATATATGCATTCATTAAATGAAGTCCTACTGTTCTGAAACAATCTTCAAGTCAATAATCACCTTCAAAGTTAAATAAATTTTAATTTCTTCTAATACCCAAGCCAAATTCAGATACTGCAATTGACTCCAAAATATCCTTTACAGCTGGTTTTTCCAAAGCAGTTTTACATTTCAGATTATGTAGTTTATCTTGCCACAGAGCTCTTTAATTTAGTATAGTCTCCATTTTTGCATGACTGATTTATTAAAGAAACTGGCTGACTCCTTTCTAATTAATATGCTTTTATTTCCCTTCTAGACTATACTTCTGCCTCATTGAATGCTCATGCTCAGTCTCCTTGTTGATTCTCTTCTCACCAACCTTTTAACATTTTAGTGCCCCAGGTCTTTTTAATTTTTTTTAAATTGAAATATAATTTATGTCCAGTGAAATACACAAAACTAAAGTGACATGGGTCAATGCACTTTTTTTTTTTTTGTGCAGTGTTGCCTCCCCTCCCCTCCCACCTTGGTGACCAACAAAGTCTCCTTCCATATATAAACCTTTCCTTGACTTTTTACAATAATGAACCAATAGTATATTTGTCCTTCTGTGATTGACTTATTTCACTCAGCATAATGTCCTCCAAGTTCATCCATGTTATGTGATGTTTTGCAGATTTTACATTATTCTTTAGTGTTGGGTAGTATTCCATTGTGTGTATGTACCATAGTTGGGTTATCCATTCTTCTGTTGATGGGTATGTAGGTTGTTTCCCTGTTTTTGCAATTGTAAATAGTGTTGTGATGAACATGGATGTACATATATCTTTTCTCGTCATGGCTCTCACTTCTTTGGGATATATACCTAGTAATAGGATTGCTTTAAGTGCTCCAGGTCTTGTTCATGGGTTTTCTTTCCTACTTATACTCATTCTCTTGGTGATCTTACCCAGTTTCATGTCTTTAAATACTGGATACATACTGACAACTCTAAGTTGTTTATTTCTAGACCTCTCCTGGATACCACATTTATATAACCAACTGCCTATTTGATAGTTATTTGTCTAAATAAATATTTTGAACATTCAAAAATGAAACACTAATCCTCCAAACATGCTTCACCCACAATCTTCCCCATTTTAACTGGTGACAAATCCATCCTCTAAGTTGCTCAGACCATCCCTCCCCGAAAAAAAAAAAAAAAAAAGTGTAGTCATAGTTGACTCCTTTTTCTCACATACATATCCAATTGAAATCCTGTTGGATCTACTCTTAAAATACCTAAAATCTGACAACTTTTTATCAGCTCTGGACTAAAGTAAATTACTGGTATCCTCATAAGTGGTTTCCCTTTTTCCACCTTTGCACTCCTACAGCCTGTTCTCAGTATAACAGCCTGAGTGAATCAACAGTCATTCCACATTACCCATCAGTGATGCTGCATTTTACTCAATAAAAGCCACTGTGGTAAGGACTAGACCCACAGTGAGCAAACTGGATTAAGTAAAAACTGGATTAATTACTAAATCTCCCTAACATGCTGCATAGCCCCATGTACTACTGGTTTTGCCTTGGCAGAGTGGTCATAAGTTTTTTTTCTGAAAGATAATAGTTGAACTGAAATCTGAAAGGAAGTAAGAAATAAGAGGTGGTAGATACGGGTGTAATAACTCTTTGTAGAGGAGAAACATCAAGTTGAAAGTTTCTGAGGCAGGAAACAGCATGGTGTATATGAAGAACTGCTACAGCTGAATGATGAGTGAGGAGAGCATAGTAAAGGTAGCTGCAAGGAAAGGTTTTGATGCTGTGTTAAGGTGGTTGAGTCCAATTTGGCCTTTATCCCTTTGAGGGCAATTTGATTTCTCTGCTTGGATACTTACCAGTATGTCTGTACTATCAAAATACTTTGTTAGATTCTGATTTTTTTGCTTCAGTACTTATGTTTGTCTTCATACATGTAATTAACAAGTTCTATTGGATACCTTCTACAACACAATGAGTCCTCTCAACTATGTACACAGGCTTTTCTTAGTTGAATATCATTGTTGCTTCTGATCCATTTATTATTGACTCTTCAGAAAAAAATGATCTGTGTTAGTACTCTGGTCTCAGTTCTTTTTCATTCTCCATTGTTAACAAGTTATCCATATCATTCATTATATTTTTAATAGCAACAATTCTTTTTTTTTTTTTTTTAATTAGCTCCATTGTTAATATTAGTTCCTC